TTTTTTTTGTCACTCCTCTCCTGAAACAACAAGGCGGGGGGGAGAAAAAAGCCTAAATCAATGATCTTTGAGTCCAAACTAGATTCCTAAACAGTTTGCCACTCTCAGCAGCAAGATAAGATAAACTCTCTTTGACCTAAGAGATGAAGTTGCCATGACGATCAGGGAGTCCACTTTCTCTATTGATATTTGGCTGATGTAACAACAAATGGAACTAGATCCTGCTCCTGATAGCGGTGATTAATTAATACCAATATTGATCTCTACAAGGAAGAGACAAGGCTATTAACTTAAAGCAGGCTGAAAGTCAATTGTTTCCCGGGGCTCAGTGGGCATCATTGATATAACATCTAAATAGACTGAGAGGAATACGATTAGGGAACAAAATGTAAAATTAAAAAGTAAATCTACTGCCGGTGACAGCAACAACGTTTTGGTTACACTCAGACATATTTCTAAAATTAACATTTTGCTCACACCGGTGACAGCACCAGTGAATGAAAACACAATGGCAACAGCTCCAAGCAGATGTTATTGGAATAATAGCAGAGGAATTCAGGAAAGAGGAAGATAAAGAGGAAGCTGGGAGAGGAAGTGACCTCCACCTTTGCAGCCACCCTGCCCACATCTCACACTGCTGTCCAGGCAGCGACAGAGAGGGCAGGATTAGGCCCCGCCGGTGCATCGGCTGCCAACCTCAGCCCATCAAACACACGACGCCGCCTTCTGCAGAAAGGAAGCAGCAGCTGCTTTACATCCCTGCCCCTATAGCTGCAGAGCCTGCGACTTCTGTCGCACCAATCACAGCAACAGACGCACAAAGACTTTCTCTACACAAAAGATTTTTACTTTACGCACGAAACGAAGGGAAAAAACCAAACACCATGAAAGATGACATGCATCTGCATTGTTGTTTTGTGTCAAACGTGAGGAGGCAATCGGGGATCCTTCAGCTAAGACGAGGCAACAGCACATGCTGTTATTGGCAGGGAACAGATGTTTGAGGGAAAGTTGGCATCCAACAACCATTCTTCTTCTGACAGAAATCAACGAGAGACACACAAGAGACACGCCGTGATTGTCACCCAAATGAAAGGAGGACCCTTAAATATATGAGGAAGCTGGCACGCACACAGGGGCCTTTTGATTTATACACCCCCAAAACATCTGACTGCGGGAGCTGCCAGCGTTTGCGGGCCAAAGGTGAGACGTGGCATATACGACTTCCACGAGCTTTCCGTAAACGAGGAAGCAACGCAGAGCTTGGTTGGAAGAAATAAGGATGAGGAGTCACGGCGAGAGAAAAACGCAAAGTACATCAAGCTAACAGCTCGGATGCCTCTGTTAAAGCACATGCTCAATGTAACATGTAGTGACACACACACACACACACACACACACACACACACACACACACACACACACACACACACACACACACACACACACGTGGATGTTGGCAGTCAATTCCATAAACACTCCCCTTATCCCTTAGTGGTGTAATCTGCCTCTGATAAATGCCCCTCAAAGATAGAAATGTCACCTGATATGATAAACAGCTTGCTGACGTTACAGAAAGTGGCCGTATGCTAAGGAGTTGGAGAGATTAACTACAGAGCGCAGTTGGAAAAAAAAATGGTTGCCATGATAAAAAGCAGACATTTAGGTGGAGCAGGGAGCCCCGTTCAGCTGGGGTTCAGGTTCAGGATGATTGCCTGAGAAAAGCAGTGACTTTGTTGTCACCCTACGAGGGTTCCACCTACAACACGTCAGATTGAGGTTAGCTTTAGGGCAGGGCAGTTAGCGATGAAGTTAGTAATCACAATCTGAAGTGAACCTGGATTGGGTTTTGTTTTGTTTCATCCTCAAAGCTTTGAAAAGTGACAACAAATTAAGGCAATACTTCCTGTTCGAGCCTAACCAGATTTAAAATCTGATGAACAGAAACAAAGCGTTTGCAGCAGCTCTACAGATGTTAGATCTCTATCACACGAGCAGATTAGGCGTTTTGACAATAGAACATAGTGCTAAGCTCTGGGGACTTGTGTACTTGCCACTCGGCTGCAGCACAAACTTACAGTAATCGCTACAGTAGGTCGCTTCATTTTCTTCCCATGTCGGGGAGAGGAGCCGGAGGAGGCGACATGAATTCTCCCATGGTCCATAAAGTGCAGACAACAGTAAAGGAGAAAACACTAAGTCAGTTTAATAAGCACATTTGACATCCGAAGTCTGAGCGCGGCCTCCGAGGGGCGCTTCGACGGGCTCCCATAAACATTGGCGGAGGCACGCTCCCTACATCATCCAGATTCCCCGTTACGCCGGGGAAACTTCGGGGGCAATTTTGCAGAAAAATTACTCGGAGACTCCTGGTTTCAATTTACTCTCTTCATATCTTTCCCTCCTATTAAGCATCAAAATGTCTCCCCCCCCCCGCTCACCGCCAGCGTAGAGGTATGGACACCACCAAAAGCTGCAGTGGGGTGGGGGCTGGGCGGGAGGTGGGGATGGAAGAAGCAGCTTGGTGGAATTCACCCATCATATTACATCAGCTAATCACACTCGGCTGAGCATCAGCGATATTTTCATCGTTCCTGTCAATTTCCACTGAACCCCACCTTCCCCACCGTCCCTGTGCACACCCCCACATGTGAAACGGCTAACAATCTGGGCAATTTATTGGCATATTGGCACAGGGTGATAAGGCTAAAAACAACAGCAGCCAGCAGCTGGCCCAGGGAGATGAGCTGATAACATTGATATGTGCTCCCACACAAAACACCTCCACCACTATCTCCTCCTTCTATCAAACTCTTATTACAATAAAAGGGAATGGGCTTTTTCTTTCTTTTCAGAAAACAACAAGGGGAGGGGACACAGAAAGGGGGCACACACACACACGTGTGTGTATATATATATATATATATATATATATATATATATACACATGTATATAAAAATCAGCTGTAACATTTCAGAGTAAAAAAACAAAGAGGGAAATACATAATTTATCACTGTATTATCGGGATATCCAGGCAGTCTAATCAAGGAGCACTGAGTGACTATTTTTTGCCTTATCATCCAAAGTGGTGGAAACGGAGAAGGAATTATCAGCCAGCTGCAGATTGCTGGGCTGGAATTTTAATGGTAATAATCGGGCTTCTGATGGTATATCTGCTCTGCTTATCTTTCCCATTATCTGGCCTTATCTCGCCAGTCATCGGAGCAAATTAATGGTGCTCTTTCAGCATCGCCTTTTTATCACTGCTCAGAGAGCACCCAAGGGGAAAGAATAAGCAAAATATTAAAATACTGCATAAATCACAATTTTAGATAACGGTGCCAATGTATGCAGGGGGGGGGGGGGGTGAGGATGGAGGGGTGAAAAAGGGGGAGGGAGCGCTGCGCCCAACAACCTTTTTGTCCTTAAGAATGACTGTCTGTGAGGAGTTTCTGTGCCTCATCTGCTTTTATTCCTTTCGGTTTTTTCCCAGAGTTCCTGGTAGGAGGAGAGGGATCGAGGCTCCTCGTGACCTTTCTGTTTCCAGCTATTGCTTGATTATACGGCTGCACAGCAGCTCCATATTAACAAGATCGTACACGTGACATACTAATTCACAAAAGGCCAGGTCACAGGGACAAAAGCCAAACACGAGCCTCGGATTTCTTTCGCGCAACAAAAATTCGGATGGCACGACGGGATTGGTGCAGAAATGAGTGGGCCGTTCACGTCATGCACGGATGTGCTTCGTTGTTGGCAGTGCTATACGAGGTTTGTGGTAAATGTAATAAATAAATTAGGTTAAGCACTGTTTAAAACACATGGTTTTGTTTCTTTTGTTAGTTTGTGTTAAAGACAGAGAACACTTTTTTGTGTAGAAGTTTAAAATGATATTTATTGTCAGAAAAGCTAAATTATTTTCAAGATAAATCAGTTCAAATGATTAAAAACTAAACACATTTTTTTTATTGTATTTTAAAGAAGCTTATCCTAAATCAAACCCAGTTTCTTAATCTGTAAAATAAAAAACAGACATTTTATTTAATCTTTTATAGTAAAATAAAAAAACACTTAGAAAATGTTTCAACCATTGGATCTCCTTGCACAAATGTCACAAACCGCTCTTGTACACAACAAACACACACCGCTCATGAATGACACACACACGTGCACACTGAAACACTTTAAAAACCCTGATTGTGCACGATGACCAGAAAAGTTCAAAATCATCCTCTAAACACACATCCAACCTGCTTTATTAGCCTTTTTCAGCCAACAGTCAACAAGCTGAAGGCAGCTGTATTTAAGAGCTGAACTCTTGTTTATGTCACTTCATATTTTTGCCTGATCTATGTGAAAAAAAAAATTAAAAGTTATTTAAAAGCTTTTTCTTAAAAAATAACTATTTCAATTAAAATTTCCTACTCTGAATATGACACTTTTTGATTAATTCTGGCTGCTAAATATTCTAATTCTCCATTTTTAATCAATACAGCGAGCTGCCAACACTTCAGTTCAGTTACATTTAGATGAAAACGAGCTACAAGTTGCTCTAATTAAACCTTGTTGGTCAAAGAGAGTGCAGTTGTTTTAGTCCCTGTGGAAGAAAGTTGAGCCACATCTGCACATCTGTTTATGTAAACACACCTGCAGGAAGGTGTGTGACAATAATATGGAGTGGAGTGTGTGTTAGAATAAAAGCAGGGCTTTTAACCCAGAACGCTTCTTGTCGGCCTGTAAATTAGAGTTAGAGCTGATTAAAGGGTTTTACAGGAGACGACAGCATCCAGTCAAAAACTTTTATCTGCATCGCAGCAGCTGGGACTTTGGAAAGTTTCCAGCCAGAGGAGAACCGTCGGGTTTGGGTTAAATCGGGAATAATCACAATAAGACAGAATTGGATTGGGGCGCGCGCGGAGCAGGCTGCAGCGGACAGCCGGACTCTCTGCGGCCACACTGCTGCTCATATCCCGCCGCGGCGGACGGACACACAACTTACGTTTGATCTGCCTCGGGTTGCTCTGCTTCCGGCGGGACATGCTGCTGCGCGGCTGGTCAGTGAATCCAGGTGGACTGACAGAGCGGTAGGTGCTGGATCATCCAAGCAGTCGGGTTTAGTTTAGTTTCTCTCAGTCTGGTGGAAATAGAGAACAAGAAGGTACTTTTTTTTTTTCTCTCACGCGCAAGTCTATCGTTCCGTCTTTTTCCTTTATCTTTCTCGTCTCTCTGGCTCCGGCTGTGACTTTCTCTCCCTCACACACACACACGCTCACACACTCTCACACGCGCACACACACCCTCCCTCTCTGTGTGCGCGTCCCTCCCTCACTCCTCCTCAGCGCGGGTTTGTCTCTGACACGAGCTGCGCTCCGCCGCCGCGCCCACCGACTGACTGACGAGGGAGGTGAACGCGTTTCGCGCTTTTGTTTGAAGATAAGGTTTGTTCCTCCCCGGGCACCGTAGCCGCGGCTCTGTGAACTTCACTTGATCTACACTTTCAGCTTCCTCTGATTAATTAGTCCCTAATTGGCGCTTTTTGTTTTCAGAGATGGAGGCGAGCTGAGGAACACAACACTGGCTTTAGAAAAAAAAACTTTTTTAAACCTTATTATTGATGCTGCTTCATTTTCCTTTTTTAAAATATTTTTACCTGTTATGTTACGCAGATGTTTGTTATGCAGCATGTGGTCCTGGTATCACCTGATCACTGAAACACAGCAAGCAGCCTCACTGTCCCATAATGCACCCTGTCAGCTCTGTGGGCTCAAATTGATCATTTCTTACTTTAATTTTACAATTTGGGGTACAAATTTGCCAAACAGCACCAAAAGAAACACAATAATTGTAAAGGGTCTATCTGTTCCTTTGAATTGTTTGATTATGAAATGCTTTTAAAGTGCGTCACAAAACAAACAAAAAGCCGAAATATCAAAAAACAATTTGAGTTAATTTGGGATTAACTGTCAACAGCTACCCCTTCCTGTGGAAAGAAAAGAAAAAAGTTCGGCACATAAAAATAAATAAAAACAGCGAAGCGAAACGGTTCAAATTCGTCCACTTTCTCTTTAGTCGCCCAAACTGGAAGTCGCCGTCTTCAATTAGCCACTTGGACTGCCAAGGAAGACGAGCAAGTGGCTTGTGAAATTATTTTGTAACCCAATTCCACAAGTTTGGGATGGAGTCAGAAACTACAGAATAATTTATGGAGCAGGGTCAGCGGTGGTTCACCTGCAGGAGAGGCTTTCAATTTTATTTCTCTTAAAAAAATTTAAAAAATCTTTCCTCATTTTGTCCCAAACACGATGAAGTCTCGACAGTCACAAACAGAGGACTGTCTCAGCTTCCATAATCTGTTCAAACTAAACTGACAAATAAATGTAAAAGTATAATTGCACAGCCTGCGTGTCCGGTTTAACTGAAACACAACAATTACTCATCTATAAATAGCTTTCCGTGGTTATTTTAGGAGCCCAGCACTAAAATCAATAACGATTTGTGGTAAAAGCAACAACACGGTGTGAGAGTCAAATTGCCAGCTCCAGATTAATTTAACGCCACTCCTAAATCCTCTGAGACTGCAGCGAGCTTCTTCTGCTGGTTCGGAGCCCCAGTGGCTTGTTGGAAGCCCACTTTGATTGGCAGGTACAAATCTGAGCAAGGAAGAGGAAGCTTTCCTCCACTGCTGAGACCAGATGGTTGTGATAATTAACATGATACTGATTCCATCGCAGGGGAAATCACTGACACAAGGTTGCTCATATTAATGGGTTAAGGTATACTTTATGCAGCGGAGGCGCTGTGCAGCGTGTAATCTGATTACAGGGGGAAAGGTTGATTTCATGTGATGAATCATTTGATTAGAAGTGCCAAGTCACATTTGGGCTGCAGAGGTGTGGCGCCTGCAGGGTTTGCTTTTTAAAAACAATATGCTTTGTGTGACCGAGTCTGTGAAACACCTTGTCCACCTGCACCGCCTCACTCCCAGATTACACCGACGGAGCCAGTTTTCTGAAACGGATCACTCCTGTTTGTGTTTTCATGAAAGATGCATGCCACTGTCTCTTTCATAAACTATAAATTATTGTTTTAAAGCAAGATGCAGTCTGAGCTTGCTGCACAACTTATACCTCTTATTCTTATTTGTTCAGATAATTGTCAACATTTTGAATATTAATTGTCTCAAAACCTTAGTTCTAAATGATCTTGTGATTTTCATTAAAAATGCAAGCAGACCAAAGGCAATTTATAAACTTAACAGACGAACAGCAGAGACTGTAAACAAGAAAACAAAGGATTACAGAGTGTCCAGGTTTTATTTGTATACGATGAAAAAGAAACTGGACTTTTAAATTGGTTTTCTTTCTCTTCCATAAATCTATTTTATGTCATAAATGAACTCCAAACATAATCTAAACTGTAAACGGCAAAGTTGCTACTTCAAAAAAAAAAGAAGCTCTTAATTCACCTATTTAAACATGAAAACAATTATATTTTTACATGAACATTGTAAATCAGACACTTGACATAAGAATGAAACAGTTTCTCAAGTCTTGACTAGACACAATAGAATAAAATATTAGAATTGTTTATATATATATATATAAAAGTGATATTAAAGACAACATCTGATCCAGAGGCTTTTCAAAATAATAATTTGTAACTTTTTTCTTTAATTATTTGTAACGTCAGTGTCACATTTTTTAATGTGGTGGACATTTTTTGACGCATTTTATTTAAATGTTGTGCTTCGTGTTATTGGTTTTTAAGGTGAAAAATGTGAAGCAAGGGTAGGATTAGTTGAACTGCTTATATAGTTTTCAAATAAATTAAAGTTACTGGGATTGAAAATGATCAGAGGAAAAGAAACAAAACGAGGAACAGCCTGATTTCACCAGAAAAGAAACACACGATTCACCTGCGCTGCCCCTTCTTACACTTCATCCATGCTTTCATTTGCTTCATGATAAAAAAAAAAAGCTTAAAAATCCTAAAATAATCGACACAAATAAAAGGTTGCTGTCCCAGATTTGTGTTCATTTCACCAGCAGCCTGGATGTTGCCCTGATCAGAGCTGCTGAAGAGAGCTGCTGTGGCTGGCTAACATCAGAGGGCTTCTGCTGTGACGAATGGCTGCTCGCTTCTTCAAGGGATCACACATGACCGCTGGTGCTGGACGTGACGGCCACCGAGGGGACAGCAGCTCCACGTGGACATCAGGGCTGCAAGTGTCCCCGTGTCCCCCTCTGGCTATTTGGGATTGGGTTAACTATGAGGAGGTGTGGGTGTGGGGGGGGCACATTTATAACTGTTTTGGTCATCCACATAGGGACGTTAAAGGAAAAAAGCAAAGAGAAGGAGAACCCCTTCCAGAAGTGGTAATTAGGAGCAATCTGTGCTCGTATCACAGGATACTGGAGATTTATAGGAGGGAGAGTGGTGGTGCAGAGGCTGGAGAAGGTGGGCCTGTGATTGGAAGGTCGCCGGTTCAGTTCCCCGCAGGAGTCGCCTGCCTTGGTCCCTCTGCAGCAACTCTTTCAAGCTCTGACCAAAACAAACGTAAAACTGAATTTTAAAGGTTGTTATACAAACAACAACAATAAAGGACTAGTTTCATTTCTTTTACAGATGTGAACACTAGTACAAGGAGTAAAACATGCTCGCAAACATTATGCTTTATTTCTATACTTGTTTAATTTCCCCACAGTCAGCAAGCTTTAGAGCTTGTGTATAAGGCCGTTGTTTCACCTGTCTGGTATGGTCCTCTGAGCTGTAGACTAAAAACAAACTGTTGAGAATTGTTTCAGTGGCAGCTAAACCACAAAAAGCTCCGTCTCAACTGTTTACAGAAAGAACGAGGAAGACGGCAAGAACTATTTCAGCAGCTAGTAGCCATCCTCTTTTCCATCAGTTTGAACCTGAGCTCAGGAAGGTGTCCCTCTGGCAACGGACAACATCGAGAAGAGGCCATTTGTTCCGAGTGCAATAACCATTCTTAACCAAACCAAATGATAACAGCTACTCGTTGTTTGCAAAATGTTTTATTCTATGCACAAATTCTTCATATTTTTGTATGACTGTGTTTTTATTCTATGGATGGAGAACCTAAGGAAAATTTCCACCCTGGTGGACAATAAAGTTTTATCTTATCTTTTCTTTTCTTTTCTTACTTAATTAATTTTCCCACAATAAGAAAAAGAAAATCTCATAGTTTTTATTTATTAAACTATTCTCCCACCTCCCAAGAATCTGGTCCTTTCATTTGTCTTAAATTGTAAAAATATCAATAAATTTTAAAAATCATCATATAGTCTTAGCTTTATGATGTCACCTGTATGGCGTCCACAAAAGCCCCTTCCAACAAACTTAAAGTGGCCCATGGGCCATTAGTTGATCTTCACAGTTGTGGCAGGGCGTTGCGGCTCGGAACACTTTAAATTTAGTGGATGAAGGCATAAAAATGGTTCTTTTGATGGTAAAGGTTGCAGACCCCTGCCCCAGACCAACAACATCAAATGTGGGTGGTTAAGGTGAAACACCCACACCTGCCTCCACCCTCATTTGCCCCACTCTGGACCCTTAACCCCCACCATCTGCTCCCCTGAGCACCTACGGCAGCCCTCTGCTCCACACAGAGGGCTGTGGTAGCTCGGTGTCTGTGGTTGAGTCAGGAAGAACATCCAGCGTAAAAAACAATCACCAAGTCTTGGTGCGGGTGTGACCCCTGAAGAAGACAGCAGCTGAAAGAAGAAAGAAAAAAATCAAAGGCGATGGGAATTCATTCTAAACGATGATCATTTGTATTTTTGTTAGTTTGAATGTTTTGGGTCTTTTTGATGCTGTGGAAGAATCCATCTTCTAGCATCAAATCAAAAAACAGATCACACTTATCATAACTTGTGACTGCTGCTAGTTTTAACACACTGATTTGATCGTCCATCTGCAGAAAGTTGCTGCCTGTGCTGGTTGTGGCTGAACGCTCCACCTCTCCGACCCCCCCACACACACCCCCACCCTCCTCTATCCAGCCAGCCAGCAGCAGCAGTGAGCAAACAGATGTCTGAGAAAGTGCCCACTCCTCTGGCCATCCTGCCAAAACCCCCCGCAGCCCTGGAGGCCTCAGCACCAATTCCTTCCAGGGAGGCTTCACTTCTCTACACCACTACCCAGTATACAGCCCCCCACACCACCACCACACACACACACACACACCTCCTTCTCCGCACTCCTAACATTTACCAAGGAACTAAACAAAACAGCAGCCATCAGAAATGCCACACAACCCTGAAGCATCTTTAGATTACAGTAAAAAAACCTGCAGAAGATAAAAATACTACGAGGGGCGTGAAGAACACACGACGCTCCTCCCAGTGGGAGTGTGTTTTTAAGAGGAGGGAGAACTG